TGGATCTGGGCATCTAGAGGAAGACCCAGGGAATGCCAGGGAGATGTTGAGGAAAAGCAAAAGGTAAAAATGAACACAGGCATTCAGTACCTTGGAGTCTTTGGTATTTTGTTCTGATTAGGGCAGAGTGTAAATTTTAAACCTGAGAGTCTCAAAATGAGGAACGTAGTAAAATTTTGCTCATAATTTGTTCCTAAGAAGTTAGTGAACTCTTTTTTTTTTTCTTTTTCTTTTCTAATGTGCGATTACTGGTCTGGGTTGGTGTCCTTCTGTGAAGTTGCTCTACCAATGGGAGGATTGCAGTAGCAGTTTCGGAGGCTTTCTGGAGGCAGATTTAGTTATTTTTCCTGGCTGGAGAAGGTCTTAACTCTATAGTGAGTGGGCAGTAGGTGGTAAGAAGAATCATGGAGGTTTGAGAGACTAACGTTTATAGCAGAGTCTTTGGGAAAAATAGTGGAAACTTGGTTAAATGAAACAACTTCAGTTTTTTTCTTTTTTTGCTACCTATTATTTTGATGCTTTATTGATTGTACAGTTGACTTTCAAAATTTATATGTACTTTATTCTTTGAGGGTAACATACTTTGTTTGAAATGTGAATATCCTTATTTTTGTTTTGAAAAAAATGTCTTTTAATTATTAGCCTTTGAAAAACATTTCCTTATTATACATCACACATGACTGATCATACAGAAAGACAAGAAAGAAAATAGCCCTTCACAAACTCAGCCATGGTGATGTGACCTTCCTACCTTTAGAAACATGATTTTCTAAGGGCTGGTAGCAGCCACCTTTTCTAAGAGTACATGAGTCCTCCAAAGCCTATTTTAAAAGAAAAGATTTTTGGGCACACTGTTGAAGTTTTGCATTAGAAGAGAATTAGGGTCAACTAGAAACATGGCATGTCAAAACTGTTTTATGCTTTCTAACATCAAGGATAGCCATTCTAACCCAACTTAGTTGGATGTTGCAGCCAAGTATAAAGCTTCACAAAGAGTAGTTCAAAGCCTTTGAACAAAAGAAAAGGGAATTAGTTTAGGGGACAAGTTAAATGATGGTTATACACCAAATATGCCAGGGAAATGATTTTAAAAATCTAATATCCATCTATACTGAAGTCTGAATAAAAGCACAGTTAAGCCCACTCCAAAGCATAGTAAATTGTACATGATGTTTGGTAGAATTCCTAATTTGTGTGCTATACATGTGCTCTTTCTGTTATATATTATGCTTTCTCAAAAGAAGAATCCAACTCAATTATGAATGATGGAAAAATTTTTTTTACATTTCCTTTCCCCCCTCCCCATTTTCTATGCCTTTGTAAGAGAAATTGTTAGTTTGCTAATAATAATAAGTAGAAACTGATCCTTAATCCCTTCACTGACAATGAGGTAACTTTTCACCTTTGGGAAGGTAATTAAGTTGCTAAACCACAAGCAAGTCAAATTACTTAAAGACCAACAAACAAGTTAGCAATCCATATGCAGTCAGTCTTACTACACACCATCTGAGTAAAGCTTCTAGGGCCTTCCATGTTGAAACCAGGATCTGTAAGTGAGAGAAATAATGGAGGTGCCCTTGAAATTCTCAAGTTGGGAGGCCTGTGTGATTACATTTCATTGTTGTAGCCATTATAATGATACTTCTTTCTTTGACTTTTCTTACATTCTTATGTCTGCCTTGTGTCCCACCTCAATCCTTGACCTCAGGGAGAGAGGAACAGAGAGTAGAGTGCTGATTACCTCACTTGTGGGAACTGAACGGATGAAATAAGGAGGGGAAAGGTGCAAGTGTGAACTGGTTCTCAGACATGCCTCTACAGGGGCACTCCCAGGTCTGCCCAGATCTAGGGTATTTTAAGTACGAATAGCGTCTAATTTGGAGAGACAGTTGAGCAGAGTCAGTAAGAGTATGAACTCTAGAGTCAGACAGCTCAAGTTCAAAGTCTATCTTCCAATTTGCTACATTTCACACAGACACGACATAATAGTAGTAATTCCCCCATGGGGTTCTTATAAGGCTCCATGGAGAGAATACATATAAGGCACAATTCCAGGCACATGCTAAATCCCAAATAAAAGTTAGGCATTGTTATTACCTATTGAGCACCTACTAAGTGCCAGATGCTTACCCTGAATCATCTACTTTGATTAATACAGTTTTCCAAAGTAGCTATGATTATCCTCATGTTATAGAAAAAGCCCAGAGAAGTTAAATAAATTTCTAGATACCTTGTCTGTAGACAGTCAGGCCTTCTGGGAGCATATCATCTCCAGTGTAACATAAAGTCAATTTAGGTCAGATCTGCTATGGCAGTTTAATAGTGTTTCTCATTTAAACCTTTATCTGAACTTTTAGTACGAGACCAACGTAAGACTGGTTCCTCTTCTTTAAGTGAAAACTTGCTACCTAAATAATGATAACAACTCTGTGTTTCAGGCATTATGGTTGTGCCCATTTTTATAGATGAGGAAAACTGAGGATCAAAGAAATTATATGACTTTGTTGAAGCTGCAGAGTCTCATTCATACCACTTTTCTAACTGTAGACATCATTCTCTACCCATCATACTGCCATTCCCACTTTATCTCAAATAGTATTGATCAGCACCCCCTGAAATTCCCAGATGCTTTCCAAAAGATCCTTCTGAATGCCAGCCAAAGTGGGCCCCAAAAAGTGAAAGTATGCTCTCCCTTTTCCGCTCCCCAAGGTGTAGTGAAAGTTGGTTTCAGATGTCAAGAGAGGAATATTTTTACCATCTATCTGCCAAGAGATATTATCAAAGAAAGTATTCAGTTTCTAGGAAAAAAAATCACAGCCTATGAATAGTTTAACTTACAGGCTTTTTTACAAAGATAAAAACTGGTTATCTATGCTGCTAAGCTTATTTCTGCTGCAAAGATGTAGCCACTAGTTTTTCCTACATTTTTGAGAAGAACAACTTTGAGACTAGACACTGAAGCTTTCTCCATGCCGAAATGACAAACAGAACTGCAAATGTTACCTTTGTGTTATGACAGTGCAGGGGGCCACCTAGACCCAGGATCTCTGCGGCAGAGTGGCTGCTCCTTTACATTCGGACGATGCATAAGCACTCAGAAATTACGCGGCCTGATTGTAACCATGACTGGAGCAGGGTGCTGGTCCTTTGTACCCCTCAAGCGTCCCCTGTGTTGCTACTTTCAAAATGTGCTTTGTTATGCATCTAAGACAACTACTGCCTTCAGTGCCACAGGCTCACACAGACTCCACTGTGAAAGAGGACTGAGATGCAGTATTAAGGGGCTGAGGACCAAGACCTTAGCACAACCTTTACAGCCATTTGGGTCCTTAGAAGAGTTAGTATCAGTTATAGCCAACAAAACAGGGACTTGAAACAGTCAGCATTGGTCACTGAGACAGGCCAAGTAAACAGCATGTTTGCACTTTGGCCCTGTATGTATTTTTTTTAACTTTTTCCTTTATATTGGAATATAGTTAATTAGGGCTTCCCTCTGAGCTCAGCTGATAAAAGAATTCGCCTGCAATGCAGGAGACCCCTGTTCAATTCCTGGGTCGGGAAGATCCCCTGGAGAAGGATAGGCTACCCACTCCCATATTCTTGGGCTGCCCTGGTGGGTCAGCTGGTTAAGAATCCGCCTGCAATGCAGGAGACCTGGGTTCGATCCCTAGGTTGGGAGGATCCCCTGGAGAAGGCTAAGGCTACCCACTCCAATACCCAGGCCTGGAGAATTCCAGGGACTTATAGTCCATGGGGTCCAAAGAGTCAGGCACAACTGAACAACTTTCACTTTACAGTTAATTAACAATGTTGTGTTAATTTCAGGTATACAACAAATTGATTCAGTTATACATATACATGTATCTATTCTTTTGTCTAATGTTTTTCCCAGTTAGGTTGTTACAGAATATTGAGCAGAGTTTCCTATGCTCTACACAGGAAAGTAGGTCCTTGTCTGTGATCCATTTTAAATATATTAATAGTAGTGTGTCTGTGTCAATCCCAAACCCTCTGTATATTTTAAAAGTAGGAATTTTGTTCTGATCCTGGGTTGGATAGAAGATGACACCATGTGGAAATAACATTACATGTTACTCTACCAAACTTCTATCTTAACCACTTGCTTAGAGAAGGAATCTTCTGAGTAGTTTACTGGATTACATAGGAGACTCCTATACTGTTTCAAATGCTGGTAAAGAAAGGGGTTAAGGGATGAAGAATGGAAACTGTTTTGGAACAAAGATGGTACAGTTTGTTGGAACTTGCTTTATCCTTCTGGGAACCTAATCTCAGTGGCCAGACTGCTGTGTAGACAGTCCCAACAATGTTCGTTCTAAGAAGCTGTGTTTCGTGTGCTGAAAGGCATGTGGGATGCCAAGAAATGTGGCATCTACTTTCCTTCCAAAGGCATTACCTGTGAGATTTTGGACTGTGATGAAGACATTTATCTTCCTTATGTTTCCATCTCCTTTTTCCCCTTCCATATTCAAGCACTGATAATTTGGATTTTAGTAAAAGCATGGCGATGGATTAGAGCTCGAATTAAATGTAATTTCCTCACCATTTTTCTTTCTTTCTATAAATAAAACCTAATGGAAGTGTCAGCCATTAAAACTTTATGCTTATTTAGGTATATTTCTTCCTCATACTAATACTTGTTATCTAAAGGGTTACGAACATACTGCTGTATAGCTTTCGTTTTCTCTGTAAGTAGCATTATTTTTCTGTTCTTCAGAAGTCATTATGAACTTGTATATAGTTCCATTACTAGCATTTTTTAATATGGTCATTTTCCTTTAACTCTCATATTATGACATTAAAAAATCTAACCAGCAGTTTCTGATAGTAAGGGATTTTGTTATATACAGCATTTATGTGTGAAGTAACAACAATTTCAATTCAGTTTATGAGATATTAGTCTGTTAAGTGTTTATGGAATTTTGCATTCTAGTCAAAAACACTTAAAGGCTGTGTTCCCCTTTCCTTTTCCTTTTTTTCAGGCTCAGAAGTCTTGGATAGAAAGAGCCTTTTATAAAAGAGAATGTGTTCACATCATCCCCAGCACCAAAGACCCCCATAGGTAAGTTTGCTGTCTTTGTAATGTAGCAAGAACTTGAAGTAGCAGGTACGGAAACAAAACTATGATAGTGTTCACTATCCATTGCAGCAGAACTGATGTGAGATTAAGGACCACTTTTCATTGTTACTGAATATCTTTGAAACAATCTTATATATACACACCATGTAATAGGCCATGCCTGTAGTTAATTCTCTGGGAGCATGTACACCCTCAGGAAGGGGATTCATCATTGTCTGCAGGAATGGATTTTATATTTATATATACACAAGTGTATGTATAAATATATATTTAATGTGGTTTCCCTTTCCAGCATCTCATCAAAAATGGTTGGTTTTTACCAACATGCTCAGCTACAGCGAAAAAGAGACTTTTAAATGAGATACTCCTAGCAGATTACTGATTAGACTGCAGACCTTCAGATTTCTATTCAAGAACATGTTTAAAATTCTACTTACTTCCTGATGATCAAAAGTATAGAAAGTGTGAAGTATTTGGGATAAAGTAATATATGAATATCTGGAAGTGCCTTTACAAAAAGACAATATAGTGAAGTAGTTTAAAATATAGACTCTGGGATCATATAAACCAGCTGTACAACCTTGAATGCCTTTAAAACTATAATATTGTACCCATACAATAAATGTCACACTGTTAGTATTTAATAAATGGTAACAACATATCAGTATTATTGCTAATAGTCATAGTAGTCCTAGTAGTCAAGTATGAGCAACGTTTTCAACGATGTAAGGAACAAATTTTATTTTCAGATATCTTGTGAATAATTTTTTCTTGTTTCTTCAAGAAAACTTAAGTTGCAAATTTTTATTCTCAGAATTGGATATTTGACAGTGAGTGTCAATTGGGAAAAGACAAGTTAGGTTCTTACTCACATATGATTGAGAGTCCTTATTTAAATGTGCCTGTTAAAATTCTCCCCTTAAAGCTGTTCAGTGGCCTTTGCACAAGATTTAATAGATGGGAGGAGTAAGAAGTAGAAAAATCTACAGGGCTTTCATTCTTAGGTTGCAGTCCTGAACAATATGGCTGGTGTGAAAGGGGGTGGGTTCAGAAAGATGGGAGGCACATTACAGCTAGAGCAAAAAGAGGAAGGGCCAGAGAAGAAGTGTATTAATTTGACAAGTAAATCCTGAGTTCACCATTTGTCAGGTATGCCACATATGGTTTCCACCTGAAAACTGACTTGCTGGCTTGCTACAGTCTGTAGGTTTCTCCAGCAGATTGCCTTAAGTGTGTATTCCAGTTGTCACTAATACAAGGGGTTCACTTTGACCTCTTACATTATAGGTGTTGCTGTGGGCGTCTAATAGGCCAGCATGTTGGCCTCACTCCCAGTATCTCGGTTCTTCAGAATGAGAAAAATGAAAGTCGCCTCTCTCGAAATGACATCCAGTCTGAGAAGTGGTCCATCAGCAAGCACACTCAACTCAGCCCCACCGACGCTTTTGGGACCATTGAGTTCCAAGGAGGAGGCCATTCCAACAAAGCCATGGTAATCAGAACACTGTAATTCACTTCCCAAATTCTCTTTCAAGGCCTTCAGAGGAGTGGTGAAGAGCTGGAAATTTAGTCTTTGGGCTAAATCTCAACTTTGCCAGTTCCTTGCTGGGTGACCAGCTCTAATTATGTTTCTGCTCTGCCTCTCTGCTCTTCCTCTATTTAATGGGGGAAAGAAGACCTTACTTTCAGGATTTTTAGAATAATAATTATGAGATCAGACCTAGTGACTATTGTTTTTAATAATAATACCAAGTAGCTTTCTATCATTATTCACTGTTTGTTATTTTATTTTCTGGCTCTCATCAATTGAGACATATTTTTCTAAGTCCTTTGGTTAAAAAAAAAAAAAAAAAAAATCTTACCCTTAGGTCTCCATTTCATTCTATTGGTAATTAGCATTTCTCTCAATTTAAGGTAGAAATGATCATCCCAGACTATTTCCTTCCCTGTTCTAGCAGAGATCTTGCCATCCAGATGAAGTGCTTTTTCTTCAAGCAGCTGCATTCAATAATGTTCTCAATAGAACAGCTCCATATGAAAAGCATTTTTTTTTTTTTTTGGAAAAGAGGCATTTGGAAATGCACAAATTTTACTTTTAAGAGTTGTCACATCTAAATTTTAACTTTCATCATGGACTCCTCCCTAATGGCTGACAGATTTTGCCAAGAAAAAATGTCTACTATGTGTTTTTGGAAGCTCTAGAAACACTACTTTCCAACAAGCTTGCTTCTAACTGTTGAGAGAGACAGTTAGTTAGTTAGTTGAGGGTAGAGCAGTTGGAGGTGACTGTTCTCAGGAATGCCACAGAGTTTTCTGAGTTTGGAGAGGAAATTTTGCTTAAAGAAGCATATTACAAAATGCAGGGGAAGTCAGTTCACACCAGTTACAGTCTATAAATGTGCAGTAAAGCCACCTCTTTTATCCCTTTCTTCCCCGCCTCTGCTTTCCCCCATCCACTCCTCCTTTGTACTGCAGTATTTTCTTCACCAAGAATGGCTGACCAAGCTATTCTCACAGTTCTTTCCTTAAAAAATTAATTCTGAACAATATATTGGAAAGGAGAATGCTATGTGCAACGTCCACCAAGACCTGGGAAAACAAAGAAAGGGTTAGGTAGTCTTGACTTACACAGAATCAAGGGATATGGAGATTTGGTAACTTCCTCATCCACTTAAGGGATACATGTTCCCACAAAAGGTCATAAGAGTTACCAACTCAACTTAGTCTTCATTCAGAGTATGGGGTTGAATCACATATAGTGTGGATCCTCTGGAACCATGCATTAATTAAAAGCCATGCAAGTTCTCCCTGTAAGAAAAGTGCTGCAGATGATGAAGTGGTTTAGTGGTCAACAATCATTATAGAGCAGTATACCCAGTGACTACATAGATGCTTGAATGATGCCTGTAAGCAACATGCCACAAGCCCAGAGGCATATGGTAAGCTTCCAGCCATTATTTCCCTCATTAACATACAGTGTCTGTCAAGTGTAGAGCATACATTTGCTGTAAGAAGAGCATTCCTCCAAAGTCATCACCGGGGAGATTGTAGTTACCATGTTGCCACCAGTGCACAAAATGTGTTTAGGAAACTGATTTCAGACAATTTATTGATCACAGGAGAAAAGCACTCTGTTATTTTCTTCAAATGGTGTTTTTCAGCATAAGTTAATCTCAGTTCAGTTCACTTCAGTTCAGTCACTCAGTCATGTCTGACCATTTGTGACGCCATGGACTGCAGCTTCCATCACTAGGCTTTGCTATCCATCACCAGCTCCCAGAGCTTACTCAAACTCATATCCATTGAGTTGGTGATGCCATCCAACCATCTCATCCTCTTTCATCCCCTTCTCCTTCTGCCCTCAATCCTTCCCAGCCTCAGGGTCTTTTCCAATAAGTCAGTTCTTCATCTCAAGTCCCTGAAATTCAACAAACAGATGACTTAGTCACAAGTGACTCATGCTGGTTTTTAAAACTCAGGTCAGTTCTCAGAAGATAAAGTTTTCCACCACAAAAAAGTATGAAAGAATGGAGTACTAGTTTGGTAATGAAGAATGTGGGCTCTGAATGCAAACAGTCTATCCCAGACACATCATATATTTATTGTGTGTCATGAGAAACATTAATTAAATTCTATGATGGTTTAGTCACTCAGTTGTGTCCGACTCTTTGTGTCTCCAAGGACAGTAGCCCACCAGGCTCCTCTGCCCATGGGATTTCCCAGGCAAGACTACTGGAGTGGGTTGCCATTTCTTTCTCAAGGGGATCTTCCCAACCCAGGGATTGAATGGGGTCTCCTGCATTGTAGGCAGATTCTTTACTGACTGAGCCACCAGGGAATTCTCTGGGCCTCAGTAATTTATTCTGTTTTCTAGAAATAATAGAACTACTATTATAAATGTTAAATGAGATGACATATATAAGTCATCTGGCACAGTGCCAGAGTACATTATAGATGTAAAATTAATTTTAACAGTTGTTTTTACTACTATCATCATTATTATCTGCTTCAGGCTCTGAATTTTTTTTTGAAATATTTTGATTAATGTTTAGAAGGACATACATTTGGGTACATATCTTGGCAAATTACTATGGAAAATCAAAGCATACTTTTTCAGTTAGCCCTTTAAAATATTAATAATTCAAGAAGTTCCAATTCTTTTACCTAGTTGTTAAGCCCAGAATGCAAAGCCATGTTGCTTTGTTTATAAGCTGGTTCGTCACTTACTGGTTCATAATCTGGCTCAGTTTATTTAACTTCCCAGTGCCTTAGTTTCCTCATATGCAAAATGAAAATAGTAATTCCTACTATATAAGGACATAGCAAAGATTAAATAGGTCAATATGTATTAAGTACTTAGAACAGTACCTGATGTTAAAGCTAAATTAGTATTTACTATGTTATTACTTCCACCAAGCATTCACTTATTTTAGTTGCAAGAGGGGCTTTGCAGTCAGTTAAAATAAGATGCATAATCTTCAAGTCTTATAGAACTATACTTATACACTCTCTCTACTTGGTCAGAAAATCTTGGTTAAGCCAATTGACTTAGCTGAACCTCAAGATTTCTTATTTATGAAGTGGACATGATTGCCTTATGGGATTTTTGGTGGCTTCAGACAGTGAAGAATCTGCCTGCAATGCAGGAGACCCAGGTTCAATCCTTGAGACCCAGGACTCAAACTCATGTCCATTGCGTGATGCCATCCAACCATCTCATCCTCTGTCATCCTCTTCTCCTCCCGCATTCAATCTTTCTCAGCATCAGGGTCTTTTCCAATGAGTCAGTTCTTCACATTGGGTGGCCAAAATATTGGAGTTTCAGTTTCATCATCAGTCCTTCCAGTGAATATTCAGGACTGGTTTCCTTTAGGATGGATTGGTTGGATCTCCTTGCAGTCCGATGGACTCTCAAGAGTCTTCTCTAACACCACAGTTCAAAAGCACCAATTCTTCACTGCTCAGCTTTCTTTATAGTCCAACTCGCACATCCATACATGTCTACTGGAAAAACCATAGCTTTGACTAGACGGACCTCTGTTGGCAAAGTAAAGTCTCTTCTATTTATTTATTTATTTATTTATTAAGTCTCTTCTTTTTAATATGCTGTCTAGGTTGTTCATAACTTTTCTCCCAAGGAGCAAGCATCTTTTAATTTCATGGCTGCAGTCACCATCTGCAGTGATTTTGAAGCCCCCCAAAATAAAGCCTCTCACTGTTTTCACTGTTTCCCCATCTATTTGCCATGAAGTTGATAACCAGATGCCATGATTTTAGTTCTCTGAATGTTGAGCTTTAAGCCAACTTTTTCACTATCCTCTTTCACTTTCATCAAGAGGCTCTTTAGTTCTTCTTCGCTTTCTGCCATAAGTGTGGTGTCATCTGCATATCTGAGGTTATTGATATTTCTTCAGGCTATCTTGATTCCAGCTTGTGCTTCATCCAGTCCAGCATTTCTCATGATGTACTCTGCATATAAGTTAAATAAGCAGAGTGAGAATGTACAGTCTTAACGTGTTCCTTTCCCGATTTGGAGCCAGTCTGTTGTTCCATGTCCATTTTAACAGTCGCTTCTTGACCTGCATACAGATTTTCCAGGAGGCAGGTCAAGTGGTCTGGTATTCCCATCTCTTTCAGAATTTTCCACAGTTTGTTGTGATCCACACAGTCAAGGGCTTTGGCATAGTCAATAAAGCAGAAATAGATGTTTTTCTGGAACTAGCTCACTTTTTCAATGATCCAGCAGATGTTGGCAATTTGATCTCTGGTTCCTCTGCCCTTTCTAAATCCAGCTTAAACATCTGGAAGTTCATGGTTCATGTATTGCTGAAGCCTGGCTTAGAGAATTTTGAGCATTACTTCGCCAGCGTGTGAGATGAGTGCAATTGTGCAGTAGTTTGAGCATTCTTTGGCATTGCCTTTCTTTGGGATTGGAATGAAAACTGACCTTTCCCAGTCCTATGATCACTGCTGAGTTTTCCAAATTTGCTGGCATATTGAGTGTAGCACTTCACAGCATCATCTTTCAGGATTTGAAATAGCTCAAGTGGAATTCCATCACCTCCACTAGCTTTGTTCATAGTGATCCTTCCTAAGGCCCACTTGACTTTGCCTTCCAGGATGTCTGGCTCTAGGTGAGTGATCACACCATCGTGAAGATCTTTTTTGTATAGTTCTTCTGTGTATTTTTGCCACCTCTTCTTAATATCTTCTGCTTCTGTTAGGTCCGTACCATTTCTGTCCTTTATTGTGCCCACCTTTGCATGAAATGTTCCCTTGGTATCTCTAATTTTCTCTAATTTGAAGAGATCTCTAGTCTTTCCCATTCTATTATTTTCCTCTATTTCTTTGCACCAATCACTGAAGAAGGCTTTCTTATCTCTCCTTGCCATTCTTTGGAACTCTGCATTCAAATGGGTGTATCTTTCCTTTTCTCCTTTGCCTTTCTCTTCTCTTCTTTTCTCAGTTATTTGTAAGGCCTCCTCAGACATA